CCAAACTGCCCCTCCCGCTGGTCTGATCATGCCCAACTGCCTCTCACTGCCAGCCTGCTTGCCCCAACTGGCCTCCCCTGCTGCCCCCCTCAGCTACCCACCAGGTAGCTTATGTGCCCCCAACAGAGCTCCAGGAGGCACAGGGTCCCGGCAGGAGGAGCCCAGGGCCCTGCGTGTGCCCTGCCAGAGGTCTCCTGGAAGCCTGCTGGGGTCACCCTCCCTGCACTGGAGGAGAGCCAGACCCTTGTTATCACATCCTGGGGTTGTTCAGTGGAGTTAGGGCAACGGGGTCTCAAAGGAGGTCAGAGGGGGACCTGAGGGTACCCCACCCGGAGGAGGTGGTGGGGAGGGGGGTGCTCACCCCCATAACTAAGGCGGATTCAGAAGGAAGGCGGTGTGTTTTGTGGTGGAGCAGGACCCAGTCAGGATGGGTCCCCGAGAAGCAGGCTGCCCTGGGCTGGGCCTGCGCTTTCCGTCTGGACTTGCTGGCCCCCGGGCTCTATGCAGTATCTCCAGACAGAGGCCCATGGGCTGCTCCCGACCCGGGTCACCAGGAGCAAAACTGGCCAATCCAGTGTCCTTTGTTCTGGCGAGAAAGGACTTGTCACTCTGCTCACCTTAGAAGGCCTCGTGCTCTGAGTTGGTGCGAGTCCTGGGGCTGTGCTGGCTCCTGAGCTCCTTGCCGTCTGTACTGCAGCCCCTCTGGGCCGGGTGCACCCTCCTGCCGGGCGATGGGTGCTGCGTGCGGGTGCTCAGACCTCCGGGTGACTGACAGTGCTGCTGGCTCCGAAGGGCCTGTGTGTGTGCAGACCGTGGCTGTCCCCGGCTGGGTGGCCTAGAGAGTGAGGGGCAGGTCCCCACAGCCCTCCGTGCCCTTTACAGGCAAAAAGGTGTCCTGTGAACAGCAGGCCTCTGTCTGCTCTGGAGTCAGGGTAGGGGCATCTATGATACTGGAAAGAACCAGTCCCAGGGCTAACATTTCCTCTGTTTGCGCCTCTTGCTCTGCAAAGCATGGGGCCCACAGCCACAGCCGAGGTGCGGCGGGCTTGGAGCAGGCGCTCAGAGTGGGCGTTCAGTACACGCTCAGCTGCCCAGGGCTCTTACCGGGCCTGCGGCAGCAGCTCCGCTCCTGGCTGGAGGAAGAAGACGCCTGCGATTCTATGTCTGGAAAACAGGAGGGCTGCTCTGCAGAGGCTGCTCCGCTGGCTTCCTTGGGAGCAGTGGGGGTCACCATGGGGGCGTTCAGCCAGCCTCGTTCCAGGAGTCAGGCCGTGCCTGTGACTTGCTTATCTTTCCTCTGTTGCTGATATATTTACATTTTCTTTTTGATTTGTTTGTTATGTGTTTTATTGATGTTTTCCTGTAAATTGCCTTGCATTCACCCTGGAATAATATTGGGCATAAAAATGCAAACAGTTACAAGGAGCCAAAAGGAAACACATCAGCAAAACTAGGCAGCCGGCCTGCCATTGCAGCGTGAGCAGGAGAGTGGGGCTCGGCCAGCGACCCCCTGAGCCAGACCCCCAAGAGCGCAGGTGACCTGCATGCAGCAGCCTGTGGCCAGGAGACCAGGGCCTCTCGGGCCAGCATGACAGCCCTGAAGAGGAGCTTGGCCACTTTCTAACTGCACTGTGGCAGGTCATCTAGATCAGAGCCCAGGTCTCAGCGGCGACACCAGTGTGGTAAGAGCCACTAGAACATACCGCGAGGACTGGCATGTGGACTGGTCAGCGCCCACTGCCTTTCAGCGAGGCAGCCTCTGTCAGTGCTGGGCTGCGCACCTGCCTGCCCGAGGCCCTCCCTTCTCCTGGGCGCTAACGCTGCCAGCCAGCACGGGGCCTGGCAAGATAGCTCACCGCTCTGTGCCTCAGTGGAAGTCACCATCTCAGAGGGTTGACAGGAGAATTAAACACGATGGATGAAGCACTCAGAACATTTCTTCTTTTTTAAAATATTCTTTTATTGATTTTAGAGCGAGAGGAAGGGAGAGGTAGCAAGAGAGAAACATCCATGAGAGAAACATCGATCGGCTGCCTCTTGCATGCCTCCTCCTGGGGATGGAGCCCAGGCCTGGCATGTGCCCGACCTCTGGGTGCACAGGACAATGCTCAACAAGCTGAGCCACACCAGCTGGGCAGAACCTCCTTAACACATAGGATGTGCTGGATGCATGTGATTAATCATCCTTCAGGGTTCCAGCTCCCTGTCACCTCCTCCCTGAGGTTTCCCTAAAGCTCCCGTTCAGGCCACCGTCCCGAAGCCCCACTCGCAGCATCTGCCTCCATCCCATCGTGTTGGGCACAGCTTCTGACTCCACTCTGACTGCTCTACTTGTTTGTTTGTGTGTATGTGTGTATGTGTGTGTATGTGTGTATGTGTGTGTATGTGTGTATATGTGTGTATGTGTGTGTGTGGGTGTGTGGGTGTGTCTCAGAAGCTCAGCATGGAGAACATCATACTTGGCACAGTGAATGAGTGAGTGATTTGGCTAATCCTACTGGGTGCGGCTTAGGATACAGTGATTGAAGCTCGAAGGAAATCATGTTGTAAGCATGACCCCTCATTCCGCAGCTGAGTGTGTGGCTCACCCCTTCTGCACTGCCAGCTCCCTCTCCTCACGCCCAGGACCCACCTGAGGCCCAGTGTGCTTTCCCTCGGACCTCATCCTTGGGAGGTGGGACGGGTGGGGTGGGGAGTGGAGAGGGTCTGGAGGCATTTGAGGAGGAGAGGGACAAAGCCAGACCTGTGTTTTGGGAAGTGCACACACAGTGAGGAGCAGGTGGGCGGGAAAGGCAGGGACCCGAGCGGCTGATGATGCACCCTGTGTGGTGGGGCCGCTGAGGGCAGAAGGTCAGGACCTGTGGCTCATGTGCGTCCGTCCTGTCTTGCAGAATCCTGGAGCTGCAGGACACCGGGGACCTGGACGTGCTGAAACAGAAGTGGTGGCCGCGCACAGGCCGCTGCGAC